GACAGAGTCTACTAGTTATTAATTTCCCATGATATTTAAATAAGAGATAGGAGAAATAAGAGAACTGGAGTGCACACTAGTGGAAAACATTTTCTCTCTTAATTGATCCGGCTGACTGCATAGCAGTGTTTTTCAGTGTCAGCTACACAAATGACTGTTGATGGGAATCATTATGTCTGGGTTTGCACTTCCTTTCAGTGGACACTGCTATTAATATCTAAGTGCCTACAGAAGTAGAGCTTTTAACCTCTCCCTGCTATGACTGTCATTACGAATTCCATTTCAACATAGTGAGCTGAACAAGGTGCACAGATGAAGCGAGATATAATTTACTTTTACACAGCTAATTTACACATGGCTAATTACAACTAAATAAATATTGAAACAGGAATTTCTAATAACATTAACCACTACTCTCTTTTAAATGTGTTTTGCTGGAGAACTGTTGAGAACTGTAACCACAATTTCAAGTATAATCAAGCAGAAATAAAGGGGGCTTTTATTGTTTTTAGCTTTTGGTAGTGAGGTGAAAATAATGAGTATTTTTTATGTTTGCCTACAATAGGTCAACGCAAACATCCAGTAAAGTGGAGGTTTCTGCCATTAATAAGAAAGGCATCCTGATGCACTTTTATACCTGAATTTATTTTTTTTAATCTGGAAGAACTATAGAAAATTGAAAATCCCTAGAGAGGCTTTCTATATAACTGTATAGAGGAAAAGAATGACCTTTCTAAAACTAGAGGCATTCCCTGAAGGTACTAATATAAGCTGGTACCAAACTACAACCTGCTGTCCCTGCTGCTGTTGGTCTACTCTGGCCAAGCCCCTCTCCTACCTTCCAGAAGATCCCACACCTCAGCATTCCCCAGGTCAACACATCTCATCTGGAACTCTCTTTCTGCAGCTATTTGTCCCTGGCCAAGGACCCCACTGCCAGAAACAGGATTTGGAGCTTTTCTCTTGTCCAAAGGGAATTTGAAACTGAGGACAGCAGAAGGAAGGAGAGTGTAGCTGTCTTGCAACACCATAGAGAAGTCATAGTAGAAAAGAGTTGTATCATGCTGATCCATACTAGAGTAACTTGATCATTTTAAGTGATCCCAATCTGTATGGAAATGGCATTGCAGATAGTTCACAACATTTTGTTACTTGCTATTAGGAAGCAGAATACCTTGGGGCCTGCCCAACAGGCTGTGCAGATGTGCTCAGCAGTGTCCTTACACTGGACATGTTCTGGGTGTTGTGCTCTAGCAGGGCACCTCTAGACATATTGCAGGCAGGGCAGGAAAGTCTTTTCCTGAGAACAGTGTTGAGGCAAATCTTAACCAGCCACACTTTGATAAAGAGTGATCCTTTTGTCAGTAATGAGTTGTTACTTAATCTTTAGGCTGCTACTTTCCTAGGCAAGGTCATAAATACAAATAAACTTTTTATAGGATGCAGCAGACACCCATGAAATATTGAAATAAGGGGATGAGTTACCTATCCATGCTTGAACAGATTCTGAAAAATATAGTCTCAATATGCTATACAGTCTAGGAACAGTGCAGACACAGCTGATAAAGTTCCTTCACATCATCAGAACACATTTGGAGGCAAAATATTGAGCTTGCATTCTCTTTGGAAAATAAGACAGTTGCATCTCAAAGGTCATAAAGACCTGCTCATTTGTGTCTGGTTTGTTGTCCCAAGGATGTTGTACCTGTATACAGATTAATACATCCTTGCCCAGAAGATTATCTGGTAGGCCTAAAAAAAGTCTTCTAAAAAGCCATGTCCTAATTAGCAAAAATCTAGGGGAAGCGACTAAAGCCTTAAATGTAGTATAGTCCGAAAACTTGTATATCTTTTAACCTTTTTTAGAATTCAGATTTTTGTTCTTGTGATAGATATCACAATCTTCAATATACTTTGAAAAGATGGGAATGTTAATGCTGCTGGCACAAGTCCTTCTCAAGTCACAGAAACACAGAGCTGAAGTCCTCAAAAAATTGCGGTGTAATTATTCTGAATAGTTCTCAGCTCTCAGTTATTGTATCCAACAATAACTACAGGGAGCAGGAGGAGGATGGAAGGGAGGCGTGGAAAAGGGAGTGTTCTCTAAAGAAAAGGAACCCTGAGTCCCCCGTTGTTTCCCTGGCTCCGGCTGCCATCTAGTGTTCTGCCGGGCACGGTGAGGGGCGCGGCTCTTCAGGAGTTGGTGCATCTTCTTAGAGATCGACCTGCGCCTACGTCCATGGGAAGGATAAAACAGCGCGGAACCACTTCTCCGAGGGACAAACAGCAGCAGAGGAAGATGGAACCCAGTAAGCTGAGGAAGAGCTCCTATGAAATTAGTTTTCAAGTCTTTGCGATAGAATCACTTCTAAATTAGTGCTTCACATGGTTGTAAACGTGGTCTCTGCTGAGCTAAGGAGAGACAAAACCTAAACTTTAATCTTCCACTGCATAAAAAGGAGCGTTGACTTCTCTTCTTCCTTATTACTGTGGCACAGCCATTGCTGTTGTATTTTGGGCTTCTTTTCCTTCCATTTAAATGGGAGTACAGAAGGCCTGATTCCCAATTAATGAAACTTTGGTACAGGGGAGTCACCTCAGCATAAAAATCATAACTGCGACTGTGCAAAGCAAGAGTATTGCACACGATATACGAACTCAAGCTAATGTACCAGATACCAACACAGGCTATAAGCTTCTCGAACAGGATGTACACTCACCCTTATATTTAGCGTCTTAATAGCTTGAATTATGCTAGGAAATTAGTTCTGCTCTACTGTGGGAGATCTAATCCATTCTCCTTCTCAAACAGGCAAGAGTTTGTAGCTCTTTCATATAGTGCCATAATGTGCTCTCAGCTGAGCACAGTCCTCCAATTTGTTTGTTCTGGATGCTGCATATGGCTTTGAAGTGTGTCAGATTTTCTTTGCCCTGTTGTTGTAGCAGGCAGACAGCAGATAGTGGACACTGAGGACAATTCAGAAGCTCCTGCTGATCTTTGAGAAGCTGCAGATCTTTGTGTGAGGATTGTCCAAATTGGAGAGTGATGTGACAGACTACATTCACTGTCAGTTTTGGTACTGGACAAGTGATAATCCAGGTTGAATGGATTATGCTGTTCGGGGGATCTGGCTGACACTCTTGTGATGTTACATCACTGACAACGTCCTTCTGATGCTTGGAGTTTGTGCAAATAAAGGCAGTCATGTCAGCTGCTATAGATCCAAAACCAACGTGGTGCTGAAAGGTTGCCTGCCAGCACTTTAGCAACAGGATCAGACTTGCGAAGGAAGCAATTACCTCCCTCACAGGCAGTCAGTAGAGCTGAATTAGCAGCTGGCTTTGAGAGGATGGGAAAAAGCTCAGGAAAAGAAAGATCTCCTGTACTGAAAATGCTTCATACCAAGGCCACAGGACAACATTTTATATCTAGTCAGAATGTCTAATTCACACCTAGACATTAGACTATGCAGAATTAAACCATACCTTTGGGTCACGGGTATTATGAGGAATAGGGGGATGGGGGAGCAGAGGAGGGATTTTCTGCAGGGCTGCTTAAGAGGGCTCGACAAGAACCTGAAGCCTTTTATGACTTTGTCTTTGGCAATATTTCATGCTGGGAAAAGCTCTGAAAGATTGAATATACTGGAATAGCCTGCTTTGCAAACAGAGCAAAGCTCTGCAGGTTGTCATAGAAAACAATCACAAACTGTCATCAAATCAATAAATAGAGAGCATCAGTGATGGATGATAGCCAGGATGGTAGACTAAGGTTACCTCCTCTCTTTCATATCTCAAATATAGTTTATAATATAGGTTATATATAATATAGGTTTATAGTCAAATTCTCTAAGTAAAGGCCAAGGGACTGGTGAAATTTGCCCATATGGTCCTTTAATTTCTAGTAGTATTTATTGGATTTTTTCACTTGCTCCAGTTGCTGACTCTGTCCACTTGGTCTTCTTCTTGCACCTGTAAGTTTTGAGTGTTCTTCACTCAGAGTTGAGGTTCAGATCATGGTGGAATTCGCCAGCTGAAGTCCTGAGTTGTCCACTGAAAAGCTATGCAAGAAAGCTTCCTGTACACTGGACTGTTGTCTTCATGAGAAGTATTCATGATCTTAATTTGACACTGTCTGTTCAATTTGTGGTAACTGGTTTTCCTTCCCAATTGTCTCATTGCCCAGCAAAAGCTATCTTGTAAATACATAATTTTATCTTAGATTTTTTTTTAAAGAATTTAAGATGATTAACTCTGCCACTTCGTATTTCAAAGCAACAAACCCACACATTTTGTTTTGAACATTCAGAGACTACTTCATACATAAACTCTCAAAAGCATTTTGATTACACAGCAATCATGCCTTCTGTTTTACTACAAAAACTTGTCAAAATTACAGGTTAGCACAGAAACAAAATGCCTTTGAAGTTAGATAATTACATTTTAACGTCCTTTCACATGACGAAAAATGCATTCATATTAAATGAAGTGGTATCTGAGAAGATAATACTTAGCAAAGTGGCAAACTGGGATTTCTGATCCTCCTAAAAGGGTGGCTGAAATTGAAAACAGTGATAAAAACTGCCATTTAGAGTAAAAAAAACCCAATCAGGCTGGTCTCCAACACAAATAGAATGAGAGGGCCAAGATAAGAAACTCATATGAATTTTTCCTCAAATAGCATTAATTAGGAAAGCTAATGGACCTCCAAAAGAAATAACTGGCAAGATAATCCATAAAGTTGGAGTCTGAAGTTGGAGATGATTAATGCATCATGATCTCCTTGGAAGGGGTCGAAGTATTCACTCAAAACCCCAACTGCAGGTGCACACACATAACCCCACATCCAAAGGCACAACGGTTTATGATCTATGCACATCAGAGGCCAAGAAGAAAAGAGCATTCCAATCAGATGAAGTTTGAGGCCCACAAATCCAGCTTTTTGGGACGCAGCACTGCAGTCTGAAGAACGCTAAGAAAGGAAGCACACCAGAAGCCACTGCTGCTAAAGTGTATTTATTTCTAACATGTTCTCCCATCTCAAGTATTTTTTAGACGTCTCCATTTCACAGATAAAGTTATGCAGAATTTGTTATATAAAGGCCACAGAAATGTTACAGAAGACATAATTCTCAAAAATAATGATGATCCCACATTGTTTACAGCAATAAAGTTACAGTGAAATGCTCAAAAGATTTCCGTCCTTGTCAATGGGAATTTAAAAAGTAAAATTCATGTAAGTCTGGCTTTTTGACAAGACCTTTAAACAGTAGGCTGACCTCATTAACAATAATCATCTGGCATTAGATACAACTTAATATTAAGTACTTCTGCAAAATCTGTGAAAATCAACTGATATAAAAGACTGAAATTTATAATAAGCAATCTGTTGAAACTTCAATAGAGTACACCATTTTTCAAAATAGAAAGTGGGACAGCAGTACAAAAAGTCAGGTTTTCCAAAGCACTGCTGTGTCTTGACTAACCAACCAAAGAGACAACTTTTTGACACACAAAAAAAGTCTAAAAATCGTTTTAAGTTACATCTTTAAATTAAAGTGCATTAATTATTTGAACAGTGCACTGATGCCTTTAACAATCTTAAATACAAAAATTCAAAGAACCAGTATAGTTTTCAAAGTTTGGAACAACTGAGACCAAGAATTAAATCACTAATATTTCTTAGATTTATAAACAGTTTAGGTTTAGATATGTATCTTTTGTGTCTGTACACTCTATAACACAACAGAAACCCGGTCCTGGTTGGTCACTGTTTTTGTAACTTACAGATAATTATGTAAAAAACATGGACTATAGGCTTATTTTTTTGCCATCTGAGTTATTGAAAACTCTCTTGGATTTAATTAGTCCTTAGACTTTGAAACACACTGATCCATGAAGAAACTCAAGCAAAATTAACAAAATGCAAATCATACTTCATCTTCATTTAGAAGTAAGAACATTTGGTGATAGAAGGTGTGCTCAGAACTTCTGTGAGATACACGTATTTTCTGGCACAATATCTCCTACTTTTGCAACTGTAATAGATTTGCAAGTGTACTGGCCACGTACGAGGCTAAAGAAAGATTGGGTTTATCTACCATAAGAAAGGGAGAATGATGCCTACAAAACCAATGACAGGTAAGTAATAAAGTCTTTAAACTGGAGCCAAAACAACAAGCAACTAACAAATTTGGAAATGTGTGGACTACCTCTAAAAAAACTGCAACAAAGTAAGGAAATGGATACACTGAAGACCAGATAAAGACTGGATAAACAGTAATGCCTTCATCTTTTGGGTTCAAGATCAGATGTGAGGTTGTGGTGTAAGGACAGTGATTTTTTGTTTTGTCACTCACAGAACTAGAGATCTTTATTTATCTATACATCAAAGAGTCTCTTGCTACGTCTTCAGTGTAGTATAAAACTTGAAAATACTAGTTGCATATATTTGCTTCTTTTTCTTGATTTTTATCTAATTGTGATGTTACATAAAATAGTCAACAGTTAAAGCTTACTCAGAATGTTGTTCCAATCTCAAAGCTCTACTTAGCAGTCACACCAGTACTGAAAGACTACCATCTATTCAAGGTGTAGAACAAGCACCACGTGGGAATATGAGACAACATTAGATAATAACATTTCAGGTGTAGCTTTGGTATTCAGTTAGCTGCATCATCTCTTCTCAGAGGAATTACTTGAAGTGCTTTGGCTATTCTCTCTCCTATAGCTCGACTACTTGCCGCAATTATTCTTCGAGACATCAAATCAAATGGTCCACCTAGAAACCAAAGCAAACAAAGAAACCAGCTTATATACCGAGAAAATTAAAAGTTGGTAAGAAAACAAGCATTGAAAAAAAATCAAGTGTAAATTATACATTATTATTTAAGACCAAGTTTTGACTCTGGATAAAAATGCATTCAACACAACAGGTGTCTTGTATGAGCTACATTTAATTCTCTTCAGTGTACATTTACTGCCTTTTTTCACTCTTCCACGTGTGCAGCCAAGGGATTAAAGGCTGTCTTGTAGTTTAAAACATACAATTGTCCCTCTCTTTGTCTATTAATGGGATGGGAACTCTGTTGAGTAGTGGTAGCTTGAAAAGAGGATTGAAAAGAACTCTTTGTCTTCTCGTTTCAGCTATATTTTGCTCCCAATTAGCCATTTAAAAGGACAAGAGAGTATTGTGCAGGCCCGTGTATCTACCTGTTACATCCAGCAGCACTCCACCAGCTTCAGTAATGATGATTCCAGCTCCTGCCATATCCCAGCAGTGAATCCCCATTTCATAATAGGCATCAGCTCCACCCGTTGCCACAAGGCACATGTTCACAGCTGCTGTACCAACAGCTCTAATCCTAAAGGAGATGCAGTTGTTGTTTTAACTGAGAGCAGTTTATAAAAAAGCTACAAGGTCTGTGTACACTGCACAGAGAACACAGAAGTATCATATGCAAAGTGAACTGATGCAGAGAAAGTGTGATGGAATGTTGCAGTGAAACTTTTGTAAAGAAATGGGAATTTCTTTAAGTAGCTTGAAGAGTTCTACAAATATAGCAGATTTCCAGAAATTGTATTTACAAATTCTGTTAGTCAATTTTGTTTTAAACATATCTTAAATGATTTCCTAACCTCAAACATATTATGGAAGATAATCTACACATGAAACAGTAACAGATATTCTACTTTGCTCTTTGAATACAAGAATTCAAGTAGAGCATACGCTACTCAGAGCTGAAAAACCAGTTATTTCAGTTCTCTGGTGATGCTCAGTAAACATCTCTGACTTATAAAACCCTATAACAGTTAACACAAAAAATAAATTAAACAGCATAAATTTTGTCTGGATAACTTCATCAAACTCTTGTGTCACATATTTCAGTTTCTTTTGGAAATGTGGATGCACTTACTGAGTGTGGCTTGTACAAATAACTGCAGTTATTTCAATTATCAGTAAAACATACATTAAATTGTAACTGGTAGTAGCTGAGTTACTGCAAGAACCAACTTTAATCAACTCCAATCTCAAATTACTGTTTACAAATGAAATGCCAAAGTTGAACTGACAAGACATCTAAAATGTGTTCCCTACTTACAACTTCGCATGTATTCTTTAATGACATTGGAAGACTTCTGGAGGTAGAACAAAATCTGCATGTTAAGTGAATCCCGAGAATCTCAGCATAAAACTACAAACCCTTTTAGTTCAAAAACCTGAATATAGTTGAGTAACAAAAAACTATCTGCTGAAACCTCCTTTAACTGTAAAATGGTTTGTGGAAATGCAGGCTTTGGCTTATCTGGAGGAGAGGAAGCAGGGAATGTAGTCAAAGTAAGAGCAGTATATAGACAATGCCAAGTGCTTGGACAAATAAAAAAAAATTTACAGCTTTGAAAGATGAAAGGGAGATGTACTTACTTCTGTCTCCTGATATATATAACCCCCCCCCAAATTTTCATTACTACGAGGAAAGGAAACTAAGAAACATAATAATGCTCCATCCAAGTTTTAATCTTTGTGTGTTTCTAGGGAGGAAAAATGGCGCAAAATTATATTTCAATTTTTTAACTTGTAAATACAGTACTTTGTAGTCCTACAAACCCAAACATGCTTCGCTTCTCAATACGGATCGTTAGGTTCTCTTACATATGTCCGAGCTTGAAAAAGTTAAACACAATTAGTTTCTCTGCAGAAGCTACTAAACAGAAACATTTAAATCATGTTTCACACTTAAGGTGTCAAATGTAATGCAACTAATCCTTCCTAAAAATGATCATATTTACAACATTAATCATTGTCAGTATATATAAATATATATAAAATAGGAAGTATCTTACCCATGAATAGGAATACTGAGAAGTCTTTCCATGTTAGAAAGAATTATTTTTATAGTCTCTGGGTCACGATTTGACCCCAATTCTGTTACTAAAAGGGATTTTGTAATGTCTGGAAAAGAAACAAAACCTCAATCTTCCAACAGCACAATTTAAATAATAACAGTAGCTAGCAGAGTTTACTTAATTGCTTTCTTGCAAGACTGAATAAAAGGTATCTTAATAAAATATTACATATATTATACATATAAAAATCTGTTCTTACTTGGAAGATGGCAGGAAAAAATAAAATACAAGGAACAAAGCATGATCTGGTGCATATACATTCAAATGTGCATATACAGTAATCAATGCTATTAGTAAATAAAATTCTATTGCTATAAAAATTAACACAATCCTGAGATCTTTAAAGGTCTCATTTGAAGTGTGGATTTTACTTTACATGGGTTGTAAGCATAGAAGAGTACTACTGACTTCAACCACTAGGTCGCACCTGGGAGAAGCTGAATTGTTTGGCAGATTTGTTACAGACTCTCACAGACAAAGACTACAGACGGGCAGGGAATTAAAAACAAAGAAACAAACTAACAAAGCCCCAACACTGACACCTGGGGAACAAAATCTTCAATTGCTGAGTCCTGATTTTGCACAGATCATGTTATATGTATCAAAGAGAACGTAAGAGCTGTTTCTCAAAACTAAACAGCCCATGGGCAAAGAAAGTCTTGCAAAACAAAACTATGACCTAAGAAACAGCAATATATTCAGGTGTAAAACTGTTGCTGTCTTATTTGCCATCTGGCAATTACCAGAAACAAGCTACTCAGTTCAGCTTACCTTCTTGGCCTGATACTTGAAGTTTCTGACCATTGCAAAATGCACCTTTTCCTTTTCTGGCAGTATACATCTTGTCTTCTATACAACTATACACAATTCCAAACTCCATCTGCAAGAAAAAATAAAAATACCTTGAGGTTTTTTTCCCTTCCTTCCTATTTACTGTGAAATCACAGAATTTAGTTGTAACTAGCAACAAGCAATTAATTTGGGTTTGATTAGATATTAAGTAAAAAAAGTATACCTTTTTGTTTACAACAAAGCCAATTGAAACTGCCACAAATGGAAACCTACAAAACAAAACATTTCACTAATTTATAGTGAGATACTACACTTCTTCAATTACAATGCTTACTCTTAATATGTAAAAGTTAAATGTAATCTATACTTCAAAAAGAAACTTGGACTATAAAGAAAACAGTTTTCTGGAATTTCCACAATTTAGTTGAAAATAGACCCAACACCACTAATTACCATTTAAAGCACAGACTTTTCCACCCGCTGAAACTATCCCTGTCACAGCTGTTACGAGCTCAGGGACTGTTGTTTTACAGCTGCAGAATACAAACAAGCCTCTGTGCTACTGACCTTTCTCAGAAGGAACAAGCTGGCCAAAATGGTTCCAAAAGCAAGTTACCTCTCCCCCCACCTCCCCTTTCTCCATCAAAAGTGAGATATCAGAGAATGCAGGAAGAGTACAGACAGTGGGAATATATAGGATATGGTGGGCTGCATCTCAATTTCAAACATTTGCTTTTACTACTATCTGCAAATAATACAGACTTTTAAGCCTGAAAATCCAGCAAAATGGATTATTTTCTTAGTGCTTTTTGAACAAGCTATTTAGCAGGAGTCAGCAGCTGTTTAAAAGCCATGGGGCACATAACAGCAGTCATTTCAAAACTAGAATCAAGTAAACTCTGAAAAGCTCACCAGGGTCAAAATCCATCTTGTTTCAAAGACTACTCCTATAAGGAACAGGCTGTCAGCATTACACTGAAAGTCTCCTCCCCATCCTTGTATAAAATACCACTGACAGTTACTGGTGGTATTCTGCTTTCTCTTACAGCAGAGGCTCCTAGATCTCAATGGATTTAAAATTTCTTAGAAATCATCACTTGGAGCTGTTATTGCCTCTCTGAAGATGCTGCAACTCCTGATTCTGAGTCCTGACCTTTACTGTTGAAATCTGCACACCTCTCTTTGGCATCTGTGGCAAGACTGCTGACCCCACCTATATAGTATAGGCGTCTCATGGAACAACTGGTGTTGGTTACAGAGTGAGACTATTAAGACACTTAGAGAAATACTAAAATGCTTATAAAAACTGCCCAAGAGCTCTCAATAAATGCAAACAGCAATCTGTAACTATTAACAAGTTCATAGTATCTCTTTAAAAGCAATTTAAAAGTTAAAAACAACCTTACTTTCATGGAACTGGAGAAAGAAAGAGAGTAATCAGTTGAGGTTGCTAACAAAAAAAATGAAAGGTGGACCTGTGTACGAAGTTGGTAGTTCCATCAATAGGGTCTATAATCCATGTGGGGTTATCTGTCAGAATGCTGCCCTCTCCAGCTGCAACAGATTCTTCCCCAATAAAGCTGAAGTAGCAAACACATTTAAAAGACAGAAAGAAATTGATTAAAAAGTCTGAATTACAACACTGTCCTTGACACTAAAATTCAGTGATCACATGAAAAAAAGATGAGAAATACACTATTTATCTGAAAAGCACCAACCACATCCAACCAAGCTTGCATTGATATTTGTGATGTCAAAGATAAGCACAATACGTGGGGAAAAGAATTTTGTGTTTCAATATACATTACTGGAATTTAGCATTCAAAACAGTGATGTTTAGTTCTACAAGCATTACAAAACAGTAACATGGTGAAGGGAGGAAATCCAAACAAGAGCTGCTGATGAAGACTGTGGAGTGCATGGTCAAACATAGTACTAAACCCAAGGGACACACAGGCACAATGCCACAGGAAACGAAATTTCACACTTTTGCTGCTCATAAAAGCATCTGTTCTGAATTGCAAAATTATTAGGATGAAGTGGGTGGAATTCTCTTCTACACCTTTTCCATGTTGTTACAATTTATCACACGTTACTCAACCCATGAGAAGCTTGCACCAAACACATGCTTTCCTCCACAAATATGTAAAACGGGAGGAAACAAATAAGGTCTCTTTAATATTGATTGGGAGTTTTATGATTAACTACAGAAGTGAAGATGACTAATCAGAAAGGAACAGCATGTTTCCAAAAAGCAGCAGATCTTCACAAAGAGATGAGAGACTGAGTAATTATTTAGGTGGATGAGTAATTCATTAGAAAGAGAAGTTTAACACCATTATGGCTAATGTGACACCAATTATCTAAAATAAAAAGCAGCTAAAATATTCTAAAATGCTTATCAAGGTTATTTCAAGGTCATTCCACAGGTCTGTATGCTTACAGTAGTTTGGTTACGTTACTGAACTTTTGCATAACTTCAGCTGTTCCAGTTCTACATATATTTCCTACATTCCACATATATAGCTACAATAACAAAATCTCCAAGAAAATGAAAGAAAAAAATAGCAAACCTACTTTAAGGAAACAGTACTAACCTTGAGCCATTATGTCAAAATAGGAAAGAAAGACCATGTAAGTGAAATACCTGTAATTCATCCTTCAAGAATAAATTTTTCAGGGGTGGGGAGGAGGGGTGGAAGAAAAGAGCAATGTAGAAAATCAGTATTTTGTATGACAGACTTTCAGTTATGCAGAATCAGAAGATCCTGCCTTCTTTTAGAGATGTTTAATGTTCTCGAACTGTATGAGATTTGCTAAAGGCACACTCAGTTCCACGGGCCCCATCCAACACAGACAGCAAAGGCACACTAGTTTCAACTGCAGACAAGAAAGGTGGGTTCTGGGTATCCTGGGGCCACCCTTGATTCTCCAACACAAATAACCAAGAAGTTACTTACAGCTGCCTCAACTGGAACTGACTTTCAGCATTAAGTCTGGAGCAAGACTGAGCTCATGGCAGTAGACCTGCAGACACCTTGTTTTGTTACTACAGCCCTGGGCAAAACCTCAACCTACTACTACTCTAAACCACTTGATTTTATCAAAGGTATTTACTGAATGGTACAACTTTCCAGCATGCCAATTGTAATGAAATTTTACCAGGCAAAATCATAAACTTTCAATTTTCTTCTTCCAGTCACCCCTCCCCTTCTGTCAAAAGCGTACTCATAAGAAGCCGTACCTGTGAGATGGATACTTTTCTTTTATCAAAGAAATAATGAAGTTTTCTACTTTTTGATCAGTTTCTGTCACCAAATCTACCGGTGAACTTTTAGTCATAATAGATATTTCTTCTTTGAGTGCTCCACGGATTATCTGTTAAAAAAAAAAAAAAACCAAAATAAAAATCTTTCTCCACTAACAGTATGGAAAATATTAGTTTTCCCAAAAAATTTGAGCATAATTTTTACAGTTGTTTTCTACACTGCACATACAAAACACAAAAGCAAGCAGCGACACAATCTGGATTTAACTGCAGGACTTAGGACTTAGCCTTGCATCTCCAGTCCCTATCAGCACAAAGTTTTACATGACCTTAAATCTAAGATCCAGGAAGATCCACTGGTACATGAAAACAGGGTCCATTTTGTTAGGACAAGTTTTAGATTTATAAATTTAAATACCAGAGTTGAATAAACACCTAATACTGAGCTCAAGTCAGCTATTTCTAGCCACACTCTGCATTTATGATCTTAAAACTATCTGAATCAGCTTAAGCAAGAATCCATGCCTCACAGCCCCCAGATTTTTTTTACTATAACTCAGAAAGGTTTTCTGAGGGAAGATTTTAATGAGGTCATTGCACAGACAATTTTCTGCAGATTCTGCAGCTCCAGGGGACAGAATTAGTACATGTACCATCTTGCCTGGCTGCCACAGCATTCAAATGTACCAAGCAGAATTACTAAGAACTGAACATTTGGTAACCACTCGTGCTGAGGCTCTGCCAAGATGTACAAACTCCTTCTTGTTCCAGGGCACCTTAGATCACAAATGGGCAAAGTACCGTCACTGCAAGGGACGTATACTGCAAGCAGTCTTCATGAAGAGATACACAAAATCGTAGAATGGCCTGTGTTGGAAGGGACCTTAAAGACCATCTAGTTCCAACCCCCCTGCCACGGACAGGGGCACCTTCCACTAGACCAGATTGCTCAGAGCTCCATCCAACCTGGCCTTGGACACTTCCAGGGACGGAGAGAACACAGTATGGTACTGTCTCCCAACAAGAGGCCACTGAATAAAGCTGATGGAGACATTCACAAGAAAGACTGTCATCAGCTTTCAAGCGGTAAAATAAGGTAGACAGGAGCAGTTTAAGGTGGAAAATTGACATGATCTTTGTTTACCACGATTCTGAATTTTATTTTACTTTTTAAATCAGATTTAAGGAACAAAAGTTACTCTTAAGTCTTTAATCAGAAAACTGCAAAGTTGTTTTCTTAAATTAAACAAGTTGCAAACATAAAAAACTCTAATTTTGAACTTGTACATCATGAATGATTCTGCTAATTTATGTTTTCGACAAAACACTCTTTAGAAGAAATTTCTACATCAACCTCCTTCAAAAACCTACATACATACTAGACTCAATAAATAATGCTAATATTTATAAAGAGTTAATACATACCTCCCCAGCTTTCCTTGCTAAACCAACTGCATAATCCATACATTCTTGCCAGGGATCTGCCATCTTTTCTGAGGTAAACAGCCTAGCAAAAGGAAAGATTAACGCAAAAATTATTATGGATATTTTTTTTTTGATTTTTTTTTTTCTTTACAAAATCCAAGTTTCTTGCTGAGATACAGCCTAGCAATCGAGGAAACACCCGGCGAGCACGCCCCGCCACGCTCCGGGGCTGTGCGGTCCCGCGGGCTGCGCCCGTCCCGAGCGATGGCCGGACGGCGCAGCCCCCTCACGGCGCCCCGAAATGGCGGCCGCGGGCGGAGCCGGAGCCGCAGCCGCAGCAGGAGCCGGGACTCACCGCCCCCTCCCGCCGTCTCCGCTCCCGCCGCAGCGCAGGCGCCGGGACGAGCCTGCGGACCCGCCTCCTCCTCCCGCCGCCCGGCGCGGCCGCCGCACCTGCGTGTGAGGGTTCGGGCGCCACTGCTTTGGCGGCAGCGCTGTCAAAATGCGCAGTGGAAGTGTTGAAATTAGCCTTTGATGTCGACTTCTTGTTAATAATTGGACACGGCGGCGTGGAGATAACTGTAAATGCTCGCGGCGGCGTGGAGATAACTGTAAATGCTCTCCCATGGGGCACGCGATTGGAGTTTATCATGGAATCAGAGTGGTTTGGGTTGAAAGGGGCTCTAAAGATCATAAACAACCCCCCTGCTGCGGGCAGGGACATCTTCCACTAGACCAGGTTGCTCAAAGCCCCATCCAGCCTGGCCTTGGACAATTCCAGGGGTGGGGCATCCACAACTTCTCTGGACAAACTGTTCCAGTGCCTCAACATCCTCACGGAGGGTGAGTTCACAGGGTTCAAAGATTTTTGAAAATAATTTACAGTTCAACTGGTGCATTTCTAAGATTAATTAAAATCATATAGAGGAAAAAAGCTTTCCTTTCCAAGCCTGAAGCCTTCCTTTCCAAGCCTGACTGATACCACTTTCTTTTTTTTTTTACTTGTGGTGTTTTGACCCTATTGTCTGTAATCAAAGCAAAACACTGAAGAGTTGTCTTCACAAATTGCAAGTGATGTACCTTACTGTCATATGTAAAACAATGGTCTGCTGTAAACAGCAGGGTTGTAGTTTGCTTTATGGTTGTAGACAAGGGTTGTAGTTTGCTTTATGCTTAAAATAATTGTAAAATATCTACATCGCCAAAAGACACCGTCTTACCCCGTGTCCCTAATGGCAATCCAACCCACAGCTAGGTGCTTTCCACATCAGTGAAGATACAGTATCCACTGCCGGCAATGCTCTTGTGTCAGACAAGTCACTGTGCCATTTCACTTTTCCTCCTTCTCATAAACAGGAATAGTGATATAAGTCTGCTTTTTAAAGGATGCGTAGTACAGCTGCGATGGGCAGGGCACGTCTCCAGGATGAAGGACCACCGCCTCCCGAAGATCCTGCTCTATGGTGAACTTGCCACTGGCTGCCGCAAGAGAGGAGCCCCGAAGAGAAGATACAAGGACTCCCTGAAACAACATCTCAGCCTTGGCCGTATTGATCACCATAACTGGTCTACTCTGGCCTCCAATCGGGAGGCCTGGAGACACACCATCTATAACGCAGCTGTCTCCTTTGAGAACACACGCAGGATCACTCTCGAGGAGAAAAGGCAACGCAGAAAGAACCGTGTTTTGCAGAATACACCATCTAAGGAGTCTTTCTGCTGTGCCTTTTGCAATCGGACATGTCTGTCTCGTATTGGCCTCATAAGCCACCAGCGTGCCTGTAACAAATGTGGATAGAGCCTTCCCAAATCTTCGTTCGCGAAGCCCAGCCATGAAGTCACTGAAGAACTATGGAGATGATAAACTGTGTTTTTACTAATTATTTTGGAAGTCATTCTTTACAAGGTTGTATTAATAGCACACAGCCAGTTGAAAGAGGCACTTTGTTTCAGAGTTGGGTTTTATTGAGGGAAGCTGCCAAACATGCCTCAGTACAACCTATATAGGACTGCACAAGTATTATGGAAAATGGCTTCTTTGACATTTGTTAATAGTATACTTAATATTACAGGAAGGGTTTTAGAGGAGATTTCAAATTCAGCATTGATCCTAAAATCAGAAGTAAACAGGATTGCCTGATAAGTGAAAGAATTTCCCTAATCCAAACCACAGTTACCATTCCAGCTGAAACAAAATTTTGTATTTCATGTAAGGGGCTACTATGAGGAGAACTGAGCTGCAAGGAGATGTATTTTCAATTGACACCTGATAAACAAGATGAACAGAGGTGATCTATTGATGAAAAGTCTTCAGACTGATCACACTCCAGAGCACATACTTTTCTAAAGCAGACACAGAAATGGAAAACGCTAAAAATAAAAGTACGAGAGATTACTTCCTGCTTTCTTAGTGTGATATATTGTTTCTCGTTTACTACAGCATTGCCCAGCTGATCTAATGGCTCTCATATCCAAGCAGAACTGAGCTCTTAGTATTAAATACAACCAAACTGTTGTTTCCAAACTATGTTCTGTATATTACAAATTTGTAGCAGTGTTTGAACTGGAACAAGGCTGGGAGCTGCTACCAGAAGCAAGTTTGCAAAGCCTTGACCTTGTGCATTCTCTAAAATTATTATACAGACAGAACAACCAAAAAGCTCGATATTGACCTAATTGACCTATTTTAGTAGTTTGGCTGAAATACTGTTTATTATAAAATCATTAAGTATTTCTTTTGACAAATTCCTCTTCTCGTTTAAGCAACTTTGCATACATTTTCTTTGTAACTAGTAGAAGTGAGTTTAACATTTTATTTATTAACTTTGAAGTGAAACAATTCAGCACATTCTAAACACAGGCCTGTAAAATTAACAGCAGTTTCAAATGTCTCCTCCAAAGTGTTTTATAATTTTTTTCAAATACAGTTGTTGAACCTTCCGTATGAAAATGTGCTAAGATAATAAGCTGTAGAAAAAACCAAAACATTATATATGCTAAGTAAAGATATGCTAGAGTCTAAACAGGTAAAATGTGAGCAATCCTAGCCTAGGCAAGATACTGAAGCTCTGGGAAAGTTTCTGCTTTTGTTCCTAGTATAATTGTTTAGGGTAGAGTTTTCACCTCTCCTCAATTATTTACCTGTCAGAATAGCTTAATTTGGTTTTGCTTCTCAGTTTCTGAAAACTAAGTGGAATTAGCTTCCGTGTACAATCCCAGACACATTCCTGGAATAAGATGAATGTGAAAACTTTTTGGAGTCTTATCAACTGTGACTTGCCATGTTAGTATTGTCATTACAGGCTGCTAGCTCTTAGCAATTACTGGCGATTGATGAAAGCAACCATCCTGGTAAAACCTTTGAGGTCTCCCCAAAGATTTATTTGCTGTATGCCAAGTCTATCTTCCCTTTATCCAAAACAAATGTTATTTCAATTATTTTGCCTTCAACTGCTAAGGCAGAAAAATCAGGGGCAGGAGAAAGGGTGTAAGCAGAGAATGAAGATTTTCTGCTGAAAAAAAAAATGGCCCTGTTGTGTAGCAGCATTTTCCACTTGCTTGTGTAACAACAGGAGGGGGAGCAAGTGCTGTTTAGGGCTCTTCCCCAAATCACTGGTCCCACGATGATGGTTGGCCTCTTATTGCATATTCCATATCACAGCAGCCTAAGATGCAAAGAAAGATGAATGGAAAATTGCAGAGGAAAGGGAGGAAAAGAAATAACAAGAGAAAAGGGAACTGTTCCTCTTGTACTGGAAAGGAAGATAACAGCAGGAGAGACAGGCCAGAGAAATGCTCGTATAATTTCTGCTGCCAGGAAACAAACATTTCAAAAATATCCAGCCACTGAAAACCTTTCCTTGATGGAAAACAGAAACATCTTCCTTTTTGTGACATTCATACCATATCCAGTAAAATAACTTATCAATTCCCAAGTCATGTTAAAACTACAGTAAAGAGTACCATAAAGCAAAATGAGAAACAACTAACAGTGACATGCTTACTGAGATCTTTTTGGGTTTTTATGCAAGTCAAATCAATACATAATAATCCTACAGATATTCCTAAATTGTTACAAAGGAACTATTGCTTGGTAGTAATGAAAACCACAACACTTTACAGCCAGCTGAATGTTCAAAGACCACGTTACTGTTCTACCAGTGGGGAGAGTAGCTTTGAAAAAGATGCCAGGGAGACTCCCCTTACATTGTGATTTTTTTTTATTGCAGCTGTGCCTAGAATGGGTATGTCATACATGTCTGTTTGTCTTCAAACTGGTATAAATGAACCACAATCCAACGTGGACATTGTTTCCCTTTAGGCAAGCACATACTGGAGGAAAACCTGGACACTTTTTCTCAGTTAGTGAATGTGGTAACTGAATGAGCCCAACTACCAAATCCAGATTTGATGAATGCCCAAGTGACTGTGGTAAATCGTCCATCTCCACTTGCATGTCCGAGTCGTACATCTCTCTGCCTCATGTGAGCTCTCCGAACTGAAACTCCATTTCTCACAGGACTACCAGTATTCCTTAACCTTATGTCCCCTGCCCTCTTCATAGAATTTTTCCCCACTTCTGTGTATGTCCTGCAGTGGCAGGACAATGTCCTTGGGATGCATCATATTGACGTTTTTGAACAATGTAGACATTCATCTCCCTGTGGCCCAGTTACACCTCCAGGTGTCACTGAGTACATTCAGTCATGGTGCATGTAGAAGCTGGAACATCCTTACAAACATGAGAATAGCACACGAAGATAGTCGCCTGAAAGAAAGTGCCCCCTTGTCTGAAAAAGAAAGGTATCTCTTCCCTTTTCAAACCCATTTAAAGGTGAGTCACGCTGATCTAGCAGTGAGTCAGGCTGCAGAAGACAGAGATTTCTCCCCCTTGGTCTGAATACTGTGCTCTAATCACAAGCCACTAGGTCCTTTCAGTAGCAATGGATCACACCTTCCATGCTGCAGCTTGGAAAATCTTGCTAAGCCTCTTTAGTATCCGATGAATAGGTTTGCTTCAGTAGTTCCTCCACTCTGCACAGCCCCACAGAGCAGCAGAAATACACTACAGCTTTGCAAATAAAGCTTAGGCTTGTGCTTTCCACTGCTCTGTTCGCATCTGTTCATCCACTGTCATTTTCTTGGAGAATTTTGACAGAATAGTTGTAAACAGGTGAAAGCAAATTGGAAGGATTAGTCTTCAAAGGGTTCTAGTCCTCTAGTTTAAACAGAGATAGGCTCAAGGCCACCGGAGGACGAGTTTATGTTGTAACAGGTCTGTTCAGAAAGATAAAGCAAGGCTCCTTGGTTATACATCAGGACTTAACAGTTAGAAGAGTGCTGGCCCTACCATTTGTGTGCCACATTATGTGGTTTTGTGTTTCAGCAATTCAAAACAGCTGTGACTGTGATAAAAATGATCTCATGGTTCTTACTTCCTACGTTCACTTTGAATTTTCAATCCAGCTTTGAAAGAGATCCAAAATCTGGAGTACATCAACTACTGATATTATGAACTACCTTCTTAATGACCAACAAACAGGACACCAACAACTGAGGTGGTCATTAATTGTATAGGTCATTCTTATTCACCCAGAGGTGTAACTTCTTTATGTACAATCACTGTAAATAACCACTTTAAAACTTAGTAAATCACCTTGCTGACTGCTGAAGAGGATTTACCAATGGCTGGAAGTGACCAGATGATATTCCAAACTGTTAAATGCTACACTTCTAGTTAAATTATATTTCTTCCTCTCTGACCATATTTATTCCTCTTTTACACAGGAATTAGAAAAGAATAATTTCAAGTTCTCTTTTTATCCCCCACCTAATCACACAATGAGATTTGCAAACACAAGGAAGACATCTGTGTGGATTTACTCTTGCTTCAGAAAGCTTTCCTTCTAAACGTCTTTAAGCTATTACGAGAAGAAAGTGTGGACCTGGCATATGGACAGTGCTGGTTTCCAAACTCAATGAAATCTGTTCTCGTAGACATAGAAAAGATGCTGCAATAGTGTAATGTGTTTCTTTCCTTCAAAGAACTGGTACACTGCAAGTTTACATTTCCATTATTTATTAATACATTTTCATATTTATTTATGAAAAATAAATATAAAAATTAAGAAAACATTCTTGATATTTTACAGCTCAATAGAGGAAGAAGTTATTCTAGAATGTAAATATCTGTAATATTAATTATTATAATAACTAATTTTCCTTTCAGGACTTCGATCTTCTGTCAGTCAAGCAACTTGGAAATTGATGGGAACTGTGTCTTTAAAACTGAGGAGAGATTCTGGCATACCAGTGATTTTAAAAGAAAACTGGACTTGCTCAAATACAATGCTTCTGAAAAATCTTTATTTTTTTGGTGTTAATTTACTAACTAAAGTATGACTCTGTATCTTCTATAAATAGAACATCATTATCAAGATACTCCAGAATTATATTTCCTCCATTGTACAGTGGACAGTCTTTATCAGACAGCCATGTTTCCAGTGTATGTTCAAATGGCAAGGCTTCTCCAGAGACAGTATGGCATAATCTCAATTTCTGTAAGACAAATAGCACAGAAATTAACATCAAGATTTGCCTATCCAAGATGAAACACATGGGGTGGAGGAGAGAAAAAAGGCTAAAGAAAACTAAAATCAAAATGCAATAACCTGGAAAATGTTAGCTATTACTGATTTACCTGGGATGTTGATTTGTTGTTGTCATTTTTAAGGCTTGCTAAGGAAGCTGCAAAATCTACTACTTTGCCAACACTCCACTTACTGCAAAAGAACATAGGTTTGCTTTTCTCTTTGTTCCCCTTTGGTAAAAACACTTGAAAGTAAATTCTTTCTGTCTAGAAAAACATGAAAAATAAAACAAAATTATTCACAGAAGAAACACGTAATTCCAGTCATACACATCTAATAGTTTTTCAGTAAAAAGCTTAAACTTCAGCCCCAAAATTACCAACTGAAACTTGTTCTATTCCATCAGGACCATTTTACTGTAGAATATAAATGACTGAGAGACTGAGATCATCAAATCCAACCCTCTCCCGCTGCAGGCACATATATGATGGACTGCAAGTCTAAACGGTGAAGAGAACATCTTTTGCCATGAGTCCCACAGCTACACTGTTATATACAGACCGACAGGAAAAGGTGTCTGCCCTGGGGAGAAAAAGGTGAGTTTAAATCAGCAGTACTGGCTTTTGGCAGCAGTACAGTGTCTCGAATTGGAATGCAAATTCCCTGAACTAGAATCGGGTCATAGTCAGCTAATCCTTTACCTGGTTTTCCTCCTTTTATGTACTAAACACTCTTCCTCCTAGACTGAAATATTTGTTTAAGAAATTTCAAGAGTAACCTATGAGAGAGAGATTTTGAACAGGATTGGGGCAATCTCTTCTTCAGGTTTATTTCAAGAGAAGACATAGAGCAAGCATGACTGCTATATTCATCAGGTAAGACTGCACTTGCTGAAGCCAAGCCAGACACTATCAAACAAGACAGAAGTCTCTTTTTAAAGGTTTTATTTATGCCTTCCCTAGAAACATATGGAACTACCTCAGCTATGTTCATAAAGCTGAGTCTGAATTTCAACCTGTGCATTTTCCTCAAAATTTGAGTGTGCTTGAGAAAATCTTCAACATCCATTAATATTACAAAGGGGCAAAGGAAGCAGGACCTGAATCTTGCTCAAATGTAAATGACCAGAACTTGTAGAACAGCCAACACAACAGCCCTCCTATTATGGACACATGCTAACATCAATCAACTGCTACCTGTGCCTCAGCACATTCCTAGTTCGTCCTCCAGTTCTAAGGATGATAAAATAGTTTCCCACAGTTCATAGGAACTTAATTCCCAAAGCAGTTCATTCTACTGTTGCATCCCTGGAATTTCTCTGTCATATTCAAGAAAATACTGATTAATCAGGGACATAATGGCTAACAGTTTTGCAGCATGGCCCTCCTGTTTTGAGCTGGTCAGTCTCCAGAGGGATAACGCTCATCAGGTCCGACATCAAAAGAAGCAATCATTGGCAAAAAGCTAATCTAAACAAAGAGACCAAGGAAATGATATTTCTAAGATAGGAGGATTTTCCTGAACACAGAATAAGAAAGGTCAGGAAGGATGCTCTGGTGTCACATGGTCCAAAATCATGCTCAAATCAGGGGGAAATTTAAAGCTGGACCTGACTAAAAAGGTTGGTAAGAGGTTGCTCCAAGTCAGATTCAATCAAGTCATGAACATCCCAAAGATGTAGATTCCACAAATTTTCAGAACAGCTTGTTCCAAAGTCTGACCATCCTCACCGTGTGGTTTTTCTTCCTAATACCTTAATTGGAATTTCACACACATTGCAGCCTGTGCCCATTGCTCCTGTCCTTTTGCTGTGCATCTCTAAGAAAAATGTGTCAGTCCTCTCTACATAGTGATGAGAGAACTAATATGCGTAACAGGCATTCCAGAAACCTCATATTTAAAAAATCTGTCATCAAAATAGAACAATCTGGGCAGAAAAAGGCTAAAAGGAGTCTAGGAAGCAATGTAAATAGAGAGGTGCTAAAGGTTAACATGCTTAATTTATCAGTGTTAGAATTATTGCTATTCTATATGATTAAACAATTAATATCCAAATGAAAAAATTGCTGGTAAGAGAAATTATCATACAGTAATTTGTGGTACACTGTTTAGTTTACTGACTTTAGCATTAGGAAGGAACTTTAAATTTTTTCTTATATAAATTGAGAGTGGTGTTTAAAATTATGTTCCACAATATTTGAAATTACTCACTTTCCCTCTAGCCCACATTTATTACAGTGGTACTACTAGTGAAGAATGCTACCAGCAGGTCTTTGTATTATGACATCTTCCTAAACAGTTATGTGGTTTCTAAACAAGTATAAAGAAAGAAATTCATAAGAAGACTCAGCAATCAAATAGCTGTTGTTGCTTTTTTTTTTTTTTTGATAATTAAATTCCAGTGTATCTGGAATTCCAGGGTATCTGGAAGTGTTTAAGGCTGCATTGGATGGGGCCCTGGATGGTGACACAGTGGAAGGTGTCCCTGCCCATGGCAGTGGGTTGGAGCTAGATGATCTTTAAAGTCCCTTCCAACCCCAAGCATTCTATGATTCTCTGATGTTATGACATATACTCTACTAGGATAAACCCTAATAATAATACCATCACATAGAATGTTTTCAGTATTCTAAAAACCAGTATAAGAGTCTTAAACTTGGCGTGCTCCAACATAGCAATGTGGTGAAAAAGCAATTTAAATACAGTTGTTTTAAGAGGATGCATAAGTACAGATCTAAAGTGAAACCCCTGATGAAAGAACCAAGGTGTTTCTAAACCCAACATAATCTTGGCAAGTGAAAATACTTGAACACCAGGTGTGACTGACCTTGATAGTGAAAAGCAATGAGGAATCTGTGAAAAACTACAAGAATCAAAGAAAGTAAAGGCTTCATGGTTTGTCTACCGAAAAATTACAGTTGCTAGTGAAGGCAGGAGAAAAGGAGGAAAAACTACCCACATCTCTACCTAGTACCCCTTCCATAAATGGAAACCCCTTTAAATCACAAAGATATCCTGACTTATCTCTCCTATTAGAGAGCAATATCAGGAAAACAAGGCAAAGGGATCAGACTGGCGGAGGTACAAGTGGCCCTACTCTCTGCCACTTGAGGACTGAGTCCCATCCTTTAGGCCATAGTAAACAAGAAAGACTGATTTCTTCATGGATAGTGGAGCACAACTATTCATTATTAAAGCAGAATCCTGTCCTGGAGCTATCCCACTGAAACATCAGAAAATATTAGTAACTTGAATAAATGGAGCTTTTTATTCAATTGCTAAGGTAAAATTAGAACTTACTTTTGTCTCCCTCTGTCCCCCAAAAATAGCAAATGCAACCAGGAAACCTAAATAAGTTTGGAATGGATATTCTGTGGGCTGGATTCAGAGCAACACCAACTGGGCTACTGAAACAACTGATGAAGAAACAATGCTAGGGCCCCAGATGGGAGGTCACCTTTTTGGGGGACGAAATGGATTGTGGGCAGTAAATAAGTCCTCTGGTCCACTTGGCAAATTGATTATGTTGGACTTCCCCCCTGAACACCCAAGGGTGGTGTTATATCCTTAGTGGCGTTAAAATAATGAAGTTTTTCTTGCTGGAAAGCTGATGGTTTTACCACTCTGGCAGGATTTGATCTATGGTTTGCTGACACTCCCACGCCCTCTGCTGTGCAGTTTAATAATGGCATTCATGAAAAAAAATTTAAAAATCCAGGAATGGTGTGAATACGATGGAGTTGTCTGGGTCCAGTTCCACCTGTCCTACACACCTCAAAATAACGGTGCAGTTGAGAAGTGGAAAGGTCTACTAAAATGAGCTCTAGGGTAAAGTTTACATAGAGGAAAATGCAGTAAAGTCCTACTTAAATCTGTTTGATGCTTAAATAAGCAGATACCCACCAGATGCCTGGTAGAACAAGCTCATTTTCTTGCTCTTTAACCAATAAAATGCCTGAACTTCCCCCTGTCACCCCATCGTTTTTCTCAGGGTAACAATGTTCTTATTAACTACCCTATGATGGTTAAAATATCTGTCACTTTACTAACTCCTTGAGTAAACAGCACATGGAAACCTTTCTAAATGCAGACTCCCTTTAACTTTCACTGAGGTTTGGATAGTTCCCAAGAATGAGAAACTTCTTAATGTTTTAGGTAATGAATGATACTTGGTCAGATTCTTTAGCCTGAACAAACCTGGAGTGTGCCCAAGGAATCATGACTTCACCTTCATAGAACCCTCAGCTGTAAAAAGATAACACAATACCCACTGTACTTTACTGACCTTATTTGTTCCTCCTTCCTCTCTGTTTCAAGAACGAGATGATAATCGTGTCATTCAGTTTATGAAGTTCATTTCTCAAATGGGGTTTTTACACATACAAACTGTGTAACACCCTGAATCTCCAGGTGCTAATTCTGGATGGGTAGCTGAACCTGCTCCTGAAACACCTTGGTACCAACCTAAGTTGGAGTACTCACTCCCCAACCCTCCAAATTATCAAACTCAAACTTCTAAGAACGCATGGTGCACTGCAAATGCCCCAACATATAAATTCAGTCTGGGTGGGAAAACCAAGCAATTACATGTTTCCAGTCTAGACGATCGCTCAAATATTAAAATAGTAAGCCAAGTATTAAGATTTGACCCAATGACCCAATCTGCAGAGGGTCCAGGTGATTAGGAACCACAAGCAGCTAAGATGTGCTATACAATTCTGTGCTATGCTACCTACAAAATTGTGTTACAGTGATCCTAAAAATCATGTTCTACTCTAATAATAAAATTCTGATGATCATCAAATTCTGCTAAAATAATAAAGTTTTAATGCAACTTAGTGCTGTCATCATTCTGCCAAGGAAAAGAACCTGTCTGTCCCCACAGTGTTGGGTGACAGCCATGTAGCAGGACAAATCATTTCTACTATAAAATAAAAAAATTTGACCCAAACTCCACACAGACATCTTATAACACACATAAGACTAGTCAGATTGCTTTTGGGGACCAGGCTGAAATATATATAAGTGATTGTAGGATTTAAAAATTAAATCCAAAACCAAACTGAGGGAACTAGATGAAGATCAATAAATTTAGAAAATTTTCCATTTCCTTTGAGAATTCAATTATTGAAAACAAACATCACTGACCTGAGGCAAGGACTTGTCCCCACATGCATGCATTTTCAGTTTCATTAATGCCACTTTTGCTGCAGTCTCACTGTTTTTTGCTCCTTTGCGTTTTTTGCTTTTTGCTTCCTCACTTTTTTTAGAATCTGAGAACAATATTATTCCTGTTAGTGTGATGATTCAGACTGTTTCCTGAACATATCTTAGAATTAGCCTGTTGGGCCTCATTGTATCTCCAAGGTTCCCATCCCTTTCATGTCCCTTCATGTCCTCCCAAGGTCATCTACCAGATACTTCTATTCAAGAATACTTGGAATTGTTACAGTTCTAGCAGAACTCCTTTACACTGAAAAGTAGATGAACATTATCATGATGTACAGACAGGCTGCAAAAGCCAAATAGATATAAATTCAAAAATTTCAACAGCTGTGGCCAGCACAGCATTCATATGACAACAGCTTCAGGTCCTCCTTTCTACAAAATCTCACTGTCCAGTTGGGCAGTTTTGTTTATTCTCTTTCCCATCGTAGAACTTGTTTAAAATCTGCAAAATATAACATTATAGAGTCAATTTTTTTTTTTTTGCCATTTTGGTTGTGTAGGTATAATCCTAACAGATTGGCATGCACACCCAAAGCAATTGCATTATTTGCACCTGAATCAATATGTAAATAATAATGACTAGGTACAGTTCATTACATTATAGTATTTGTAGAATAAGAACAAGATAATACTTCTGAAAGAAACTTGAGCCCTATTTAATCTTTAAAAATTCTCTTCATACTGTTGCCTCGTCTCAGCACAGATGAACAGTATTACATGTGACATTAGGGCTATTTAACCAAGGAACCCCTATCTTTTTTTATTTGGTTGAACCTGACCCCTTCAAAGGAGGTCAGAGGTTCAAATACTCTTCTGAAGAAAATTGCAGAGTACATATCCTGCTGTACTTGCCTATAATATGTTTAACTAGCTGCTGGGTAGCAGCCATTCGAGGTTTTGGCGTGTCCAGCTTTTCACATTCATGGTCTGATTGATGGCGATGTCTGTAAACAACAGCATAAAACTTTTAATACCTTTTCCATACACTAATGAATGAGTATTGATGTTTAAACACCTTGTTCCACACACCTTAGACAAAAATGTTTTCCACAGTAGGGACATAAAACTGGCAAAAGCTCCTTTCCATTGCAGTCCTTGTATGAGCACGGATAAGACCTGTGCTGATCAGGTTTCACAGAATTGTTTCTTATATTCACCTAGGCATTAGTACAAAATATTTTGTGTAAAGAAACAGATACTACAGATACAAGTCGCCACACACCTTTCCCAAAGAACTGCCCTAGCTCTCCATTCTATTCTCCTACTTTTGTCCTGGTTATGTTTAGCTCAGAGTTAGAAATAGAACCATCATTCTACTCAAACTCAATTTACTTCTGAGAGGCAGAAAAAGAGTAGATGAATTTTTTTTAAGCTTTTCACATTCACAGTTAAATAATGCATACTTATATATGTATTCGTCTAGTCTGAAAACACGCAGCTAATTCTAAGGCAGGTCATATATTATTAGATTACCTCAGAACATCCATGAGCATCTCGGCTCCTGTGCTGAAGGCTTTGTGGAAAAAGAAGAGACATTTCAGGAAAAGAAAACCATATGTGAAAACATTCAACTATTTAAAGAGTGATCTGACTACTTTTATCATGGCAACACTTGAATTAGATAACGAATCTTCTACAAAGTTTGTTCTAACCTCTGCATTTCATGTCTTGGATGACTGTCCTAGTTAGGACAACTGAGACCGGTTCATCAGGGTATGGGTGTAACCCAAAACTGTGTATTCTATAGCCTTCCATGCCATTTCCCAGAAACTGTTATCAATGAACCATTTACACCATCTGCCCATAGAGCCTGACTCCTCAGGCTACAAACTAGGTGTTAAGAGGCCTGTGAGATAGGAGGATGCTCCTGTCCTCACACCCTTTATGGAACTCCCCGCCCTGAGGGAAGTGCTGAGCATTCCTGCCTGAACTGCAGGATATATAATCTTGGAGTCTTGGAACATTTTTAACCACTCTGTGGGATCCAGAGAAGGACTGCGGCTCATCGCTCTCAAACAGACTTGGATCACCACCCTATACTGGACTCCAATCACCACTTTGACCAGACTGCAACAGCTCTCCCCCCAGCATCTCACTGCAATCACCACTTTTGACTAGACTGCAACAGCTCTCCCACCAGCAGGTTCTTCCCCTCTCCCTTTACTTTGGACTCAAGCGGGGCCCAAGGAGCACCACGTTGTTCCAGGGTACTGGGTTATACATTTGGGTTTTGTGGGTTAAGACCAATTGTTTGTTTGTATGATTGTACTTACTGTATTATTTTAGTAAATTGTTATTCTGACTTATAATCTCTCCTTTGAGTTGAGTTCATTTCCCCTGCTGGTTAACTCTTAAACCAGCACATTTTTTGGCCGCCCAACGTGGGGCAGAGAGAGAGAAGTCAGAATCACAATTTCACTTTAAGCATTTGTCTATTTGGATATAGAAACTCCCTGTTCACCATGTTGTTTGATGCATTCACATGGATGTTGTATTTGAGCCTGTTCATATTTCCACAGATGGGATATTATTTGCCTGTTTTGATGCTCTCTTTAAGACCAGGGAGAGGGATCCAAATTGCTTTATTAGTATATTATGTTTATGTCATTCTAACATCAGAAGCAATGAGTTTCATTGTAAATGTGTATTCAGTCCTGTTTGCCTGTCCTGGTTTGGGTTGCTACCTCTGGGGTTTCATTAAAAATCGTACCCAGCCCTTTGGGGGAACAGGGGGGATGGTTGTTTCCAGCCTCTCACCTCCTTCTTCCCCTTCAGACCTGCTACAACAGTTTTTGAAAATATTGAGTTCCCTTTTGATGTTAAGGACAGTATAATGTTATTGTTAGTGTTGCTCTGTCTGCTCTGTACTGTGTACACAATGTTTAGGGTCAGAACAGGGCCTTCTAGGGAGGTTGTCTGGACACCTGCCCTGGGAGCAGATAATGCTGAGTGGCACGGGAAGTGGGAGGACATCAGCCAGTATTTGGAGAAGTTTTCTCCTCCAATGATCTGGAAATTCACCCCTGAACAACTGCAGGATCCTGTTAGCATGATAAGACTGGTGAAGGGAAAATGCTCTGGCAGCTCCAGAGATGGCCAGCTCACAGTAACCTGCTGGGCCCTGGCCACTGCCTACCGGACACTACTTGACATGGTACAGCAGTGTCAGGGGGAGGAGAGAAGGACCAAATCCGCAGGCACCACGTCCACCCAAACCACAGCTGAGTCAGAGGGAGAAAGAAATAAACCAACCGGCACCGTGTCCACACAAACCATCGAGGAGCCAGAAGAACAACCAAAACCAATATCAGTCGCCCCTGTCCAGAAAAGGAAATCAAAGACTAAATCAGTCCGTATAGCAAATGATGACGAAGAGGCAGGACCTTCACATCCACTGGAGGAGACAGAGCCAGAAATAATCACTCGGTCCCTATCCCTGGGTGAGCTACGCGAGCTCCGGAGAGAGTTCACACGACAGGCGAACGAGTCCATTCTGACCTGGCTGCTCCGAATCTGGGATGCCGCAGCTAACGACACAATCCTAGATGGGAGTGAAGCCAGACAGCTGGGGTCCCTGTCTCGAGATGTAGTCATTGATCAGGGGATTGGAAGGAGGCAGGAAACTCTCAGCCTCTGGCGGCGACTGTTGTGCCGTGTGAGGGAGAGATACCTTTGCAAGGAGGACCTCCACGTACAGCAAGGACAGTGGAACACGATGGAACAAGGTATCCGGTGCTTAAGGGAGTTAGCTGTACTGGAGATAATCTTTTCAGACGATGAAAGATTCCCTAAAAGTCCAGATGGCGTACAGTGCACCTCCCAGATGTGGTTAAAGTTTGCACGCCTCGGGCCAGAAATGTATTCCCGCTACTTAGCAACGCTGCAATGGAGGGAGGGAGAGGACAAGGTGGGAGCATTGGTTAGTAAACTCAGGATGTATGAAGACACTGTCACCGCCCCATTACGAGCCCACGTCTCATCTGTGGAAACCAAACTGGCTGAACACGTCAGAAGCCTGGAAGAGAAAATTGAAGAGGGACACCAGAAGCTAAGAGAGGAAATTAAGGAAGGGATCTTCCATATCTCACCAGGACAAACAAGAGTCTCTGCTATTAGAAGCCAGCGTCCCCCAGCTAAGGAGAGAAGGTACACTCCACGTGGCGATCTATGGTTTTACCTCCGTGAGCACGGAGAAGATATGAGGAAGTGGGATGGGAAACCCACCCCTTCCTTAGCAGCCCGGGTACGTGAACTGAAAAGAGGAACAAGTACCACAAGGAACTCTTCAAGGGTAAACGCTGCTCCAGTCTCTCGTGGGCAAGACTCCAGACGGTACAGGAATGATGATACGTCTGATCCTCTTGAAGGGACCTCCAGGTCATACCCACAAGAAGAGCACAATGAGTACCATGACCAGGACTAGGGGTGCCCTGCCTCTAGCCAGGTAGAGGAGAGGGACAATCGAGTCTATTGGACAGTGTGGATTCGGTGGCCTGGCACATCAGAGCCACAAAGGTATAAGGCCTTAGTGGACACCGGCGCACAATGTACTTTAATGCCATCAAGATACGTAGGGGCAGAATCCATCTCCATTTCTGGGGTGACAGGGGGATCCCAACAGCTGACTGTACTGGAAGCTGAAGTGAGCCTGACTGGGCAGGAATGGCACAGACACCCCATCGTGACTGGCCCAGAGGCCCCGTGCATCCTTGGCATAGATTACCTGAGGAGTGGGTATTTCAAAGACCCAAAAGGACTTCGTTGGGCTTTTGGCATAGCTGCTGTGGAGACGGAGGAAATTAGACAGTTGAACACCTTGCCTGGTCTCTCAGAGGACCCCTCTGCTGTGGGACTGCTGAAGGTTGAAGAACAATTGGTACCGATAGCCACAGCAACAGTGCACCGTCGGCAATACCGCACCGACCGAGACTCTGTGACCCCTATACATAAGATGATCCGTGAACTGGAGACCCAGGGGGTGGTCAGCAAGACTCGCTCACCCTTTAATAGCCCTATATGGCCAGTGCGTAAGTCCAGCGGAGAGTGGAGGCTGACGGTGGATTACCGTGGACTCAATGAAGTCACACCACCCCTGAGTGCTGCTGTGCCGGACATGCTGGAGCTCCAGTACGAGCTGGAGTCCAAGGAAGCCAAGTGGTATGCCACCATTGACATTGCCAATGCCTTTTTCTCCATTCCTTTGGCAGCTGAGTGCAGGCCACAATTTGCTTTCACTTGGAGAGGTGTGCAGTACACCTGGAATCGACTGCCTCAGGGGTGGAAACACAGTCCCAGCATTTGCCATGGACTGATCCAGACTGCACTGGAAAGGGTGAGGCTCCAGAGCACCTACAGTACATTGACGACATCATTGTATGGGGGAACACGGCGGGCGAAGTCTTCGAGAAAGGAGAGAAGATAATCCAGATTCTCCTAAGAGCCGGTTTTGCCATTAAACGGAGTAAGGTCAAGGGACCTGCTCAGGAAATTCAGTTCCTAGGAGTGAAGTGGCAAGATGGACGCCGCCTAATTCCCATGGAGGTGATTAACAAAATAGCAGCCATGTCCCCACCAACCAGCAAGAAGGAAACACAGGCTTTCCTAGGCGCTGTGGGCTTTTGGAGGATGCATATCCCCGAGTATAGTCAGATTGTAAGCCCTCTCTACCTTGTGACACGGAAGAAAAATGATTTCCAGTGGGGCCCCGAACAACAACAAGCCTTTGAACAAATTAAACAGGAGATTGCCCATGAGGTAGCCCTTGGGCCAGTAAGGACAGGACAGGACGTGAAGAACGTGCTCTACACCGCAGCCGGGGAGAATGGCCCTTCTTGGAGCCTCTGGCAGAAAGTGCCTGGGGAGACCCGAGGACGACCGCTGGGATTCTGGAGTCGGGGCTACAAAGGATCTGAAGCCAGCTATACACCAACTGAGAAAGAGATCCTGGCTGCCTATGAAGGAGTTCGAGCTGCCTCAGAAGTAATCGGCACCGAAGCGCAGATCCTCCTGGCACCCCGACTACCAGTGCTGGGCTGGATGTTCAAGGGAAGAGTTCCTTCCACACATCACGCCACCGATGCCACGTGGAGTAAGTGGATCGCTCTGATCACGCAGCGAACCCGGATAGGGAACCCTAATCGCCCTGGGATTCTGGAAATTATCACCAATTGGCCCGAAGGTGAGAGTTTCGGACTATCCTCTGAAGAAGAGGAGGAGAAGGTGACACGGGCTGAGGAGGCCCCACCATATGACAAGCTACCAGCAGATGAAAGGCGATATGTGCTCTTCACGGATGGCTCCTGCCGCATTGTAGGGACAAACCGAAAATGGAAGGCAGCTGTATGGAGTCCCACACGGCGAGTTGCAGAAGCAACCGAAGGACAAGGTGGGTCAAGTCAGTTTGCAGAGCTTAAAGCCGTTCAGTTGGCTTTGGATATAGCTGAACGAGAGAAGTGGCCAAGACTCTATCTCTACACTGACTCATGGATGGTGGCCAATGCTCTGTGGGGGTGGCTGGAGCGATGGAAAAAGGC